AGGAGTGCATCAGAGCCTTAGGTAGAAATAAACCTCATACTCCTTTCCGAGCAAGTAAACTTACTCAGGTGTTAAGAGATTCATTCATAGGTGAAAACTCACGTACCTGCATGGTAAGTTTGTGTTTGTTTTTTGTTTTGTTTGTTGTATTTTAATACCAAAGGACTAACTGCATCATATCTGTGGAAACTTTATAATATATGTTAATGATAGTCATTTGAATTCTTCTGTTGTGAGATATAAAGTGATATATAGGTGTGATCCCTGCCAGTCTGATACAGAGGATTATATTGTAGTTACAGTGATTGTACTATTTTTCCAAAATGTGAGTTGTCTTGAGGTTAATTTCTTGGTTTCCTTTTTTCTTGAGTATAGATAACACTTTTCTATCTCTTCATATTTCTAGTAATTGGGGGTTCTATCACACGTATTATGAATGAATACTTTGTAGAGATGCTGGGTTCTTTTATGTTCTTAATATTACTGGGTTTTGTTGTTTCAGCAGAAGTTAACTTGTCTCCCCACAACAGGGGAGACAAGAGTTTGTAATAAGTGTCTCACTTTCATTCCTTGTTGTGGGTAGCAACTAAAATTGAAGTCTGTTATTTTAGACTTAGCTATGTTACTTGTAGTATGCCTAGCTCAGAAGTCAGTCAGAGATTTGGGGAGTTTATATGTAAAATTTGGGTTTCCCCTTATTCTTTTCATTTTTTTAGAGAGGAGGTCTTGCTCTGTCACCCAGGCTGGAGTGCACTGTGTCATGATCATGGCTCACTGTAGTCCCAAATCTCCCAAGTAGTTAGGACACCAGGCCACCACTCCTGGCTGATTTCTAAAATTTTTTTTATAGAGACAGGGTCTTCTGTTGTTGCCCAGGTTTCTCTAACTACTGGGCTTAAGCAATCCTCTGCTTCACCTGAGAAAGTACTGGGATTGCCGGTGTGAGCCACCACACCTGGCTGAGACTGCAAGTTTCTAGTGAAATTTTAATTGACCTGTGTGAAAGCAGCATCAGCAGAGCTTGCCCGCTGGCAAAAAGCCGGGGTTTTTGTTTTGAGACGGTCTCTCTCTGTTACTCTTGGCTAAAGTGCTGTGGGTCACAGCTCACAGCAACCTCAAACTCCTGGGCTCAAGCGATCCTCCTGCCTCAGCTTCCTCAGTAGTTGAGACTACAGCCATGTGCCAACACACCTGGCTAATTTTTTTATTTTTAGTAGAGATAGCGCCTCACTCTTGTTCAGGCTGGTCTCCTGAGCTCAAGAGATCCTCCTAAGGTAGGATTACAGGCATGAGCCACCACACCTAGCCAAAAAATGGGCTTTTTTTTTAATGTGGGAGTAGTAACTTAGTACCGTTTTTTTAACCTCCTTCTTTCTGCTGGGTTTGGATCATTTTCTAATCCCTTCAAAGAGTTGTTCATATTTTAACTGGACTTTATTATCTGATTATGGGTATAAGATAGCAAATTATCTTACAGTTGAGATATCATTAATAAATCTTTATTTTTAAATAATCATAGTAAAATTAGACCTAAATGAGCTACATATTGGTATTATTGTCTTGATCATTTATAACCTTTTCTTTACCTTTGCATTCTTTCCCCCTACAGATTGCCACAATCTCTCCAGGAATGGCATCTTGTGAAAATACTCTTAATACATTAAGATACGCAAATAGGTATGGGAATTCTCCATTTTGAAATTAGAGGGGGAGTAGTGGAGCAGCATATAGTATGATTTAATATCTGACAGAGCGAATCTTAGTACATTGTTCTATTTTCAAAAAACTTTTTTTTGGATTCTATAAGATGATATTTAGAATCATTTGTCAAGTTCTAAAAATAAGTAGAAAATATGTTGTGTAATTTGGGAAGAGATGGATACTTTTAAAAGTGAGACTGGTCTTTTTATCCTAGAATAAGATTACAGTTTTCTATTCACTGAGTTATATTTCCTAATATTTTATTACATTTAAATCATGCAAATTTTTCTTATTACATGAAGACTTTAAGTGAATATTAAGGAACATCTATTTCTTAAGTTATTTTGGTATGTGCTGAAAATTATTCTTGGTATTATTAAATACTACTATGGGAAATCTAGGGTTTGAATAACAAGTTATAGCACAGTTCTTTCTGGTCTTCTATATGAGTTATGTTTTGTTATTCATGTTAATAGTGTTATAAACATTAATAGACTACTGGGTTATTACAGATGGAAGGGCAAAATGTGTTATAGACTACTAAAGCAGTTTATTCCTTAGAGTCATGGAATGTTTTTGCAACTTTGACTTATGTCAGGCATATTTATATTTGTTTTGTAGATTTTTCCCCCCACTGTTCTTGCTTTGAATGGCTGTTTATGTAGTTTTAAATTTCTCTTATCACATGCTAACATTTGTGATTTTAACCTAGAGATCATATTCCTCTCTGTAATCTGTTTCTAGCATAGAGATCATCGCAATTTTGCTGGACAAAAATATTTGTCCTATTTCTTCGTTTTACTCATTATGGAAATTTTATTTTTAATCCTTTATTAAAACATGAAATACATAATACATAGAGGAAAGTACCCAAAACATAAGTGAATAATTTAATGAATGCTAATAAAGTGAAAATCCTGTCATCAAATGGGGAAATAGACCATTACTATTCCCCCAAGGTTCCCCATGTGCTTTTTCTTGATGACAAATCCTAAATAACATCCTAAATCCATTAATTTCTACCCTGATATACGAATGGTCCTAACTTCTATGGAATTATTTTCTCATTTTACATTGATCTCTTCTTAAAAATAGTTTTACTGCCTATGAATGTATCCCTGACTAGTTGTATTTGAACTTTATATAATGAGATCAAACTTGTTCTGTTATACTGCTTTTGTTTCAGCTGAAGAGATTTTTTATACATGGTAGTAAACATTGCTGGAAAGTATAAACCTGCTGACCCTTTGTAAAAAAAAAAAAGGTATTAAAATATAATTCCTTTGGGGTGGTGCCTGTGGCTCAAGGAGTAGGGTGCCAGCCCCATATATTGGAGATGGTGGGTTCAAACCTGGCCCCTGCCGAAAACCGCAAAGAAAAAAAAGGAGAGAAAACAATAGCTTCTTTAAAAATGTAATAGAACTATATTGCTAAATACAGAACTATTGTATTTTCTACATTTAATCTCTTTTAAGTTTGAATTACGAGCTTACAGCTGCAAACTCTCGTTTTGTTACTTTTAACTGACCTTTGTTATTAACATTTTTTGGTATGTGCGATTTTATAATTAATTTTAAATACTTAACATCTTAGTATAGAAGAGTCTTACCATGTTACAAAATAAAACAAACACAACCCCTTCATGACTTAAGACTTCAGACTGCAGAGAACTCTCCCCCCCAATATTGGGAAAATGCTGTGTCTAGCTGTTCCTCCATTTAGGTCTAAGTAAAATATCTTAACCTTTTATTATATACTTTAACTCATTTGTAATGTGATTGACCATTTGTGGGACACATAAGTGTCTCACTTTTATTTCCAGATCTTTAGGAATAAAGATTTTCATCCTCCTTGGATAATTCATGCCAGTGTTTTGACTTTAAGAGTCAATAACTTTTTTTATAATTAAGCAGAATCCATTGCTCTTTAATATTAAATCCGCTTCGTATTATTTAGGCAGATATTTTGAGGTGTTAGAAGGTACTATTACATTAAAATTTCCATAATTTTAGGAAATTGTTATCTCTGAAGTGTTTAAATGTCTTGTTTTTAAGAATTAGCATAGTTATCGAAGATTGTTACTCTCAAGACAACATGGGTTTAATACATGCTTCATGGCTCAGTGCTGTAGCTCAGTGAGTAGGGCACCAGCCACAAACACTGAGGCTAGCAAGTTTGAGCCCAGCCTGGGCCTGCTAAACAACAATGACAACTGCAACCAAAAAATAGCCGGGTGTTGTCGCAAGTACCTGTAGTCCCAGCTACTTGAGAGGCGAGGCAAGAGAATCACTTAAGCCCAAGAGTTGGAGATTGCCGTGAGCTGTGATGCCACTCTACTAAGGGGACATAGTGAGACTCTGCCTCTAAAAACAAAAACAGAAACAAAACAAAAAAACCTGCTTTACTACTTATTGGCAACAAAGCCCCTAAAGAGTTACATAATCTCTCTGTGTCCTTGTTTCTCATCCTTAGAATGGAGAGATTAATGACTGTTTCCACTTTAAATGTGATTGTTTTGAGGAGTAAAAGAGGTGATCTGTGTAAAATATTTAGCACAGTGCTTAGGGTATACAGGATGTCCATAAAGTTCATGTGCAATTAAAAATAGACTTTATGGACACCCAGTATTAAGTGCAGAATCATTATTCCTTATTGCTATTTTAGTGAGTAGTTCTGTCTTAAAAATTCACTTAAACAGATGTGAAAACAATTTTTTCAAATCCTTTTTTAAATTAGACATATGCTTTGAAGTGTTCTGTGGGAGTTAGAGAATAGTTTTTAACAGTACACATTGCTGCTTCGTGATTAAGATGATAAATCCAGTTGCAGTCATAAAATTCATATGATTTATGATATTTTAGAGGAGACTAGAAGGAAAAATTTTAGAGAGTGCAAGGAGTGGTTTGTTATCCCAGGAAAAATAGTATCGTCGGATATACAAAAAAACAGGAAGTAGAGTATAATCTTTGGGCAATAAAAAAGAGTAGAATGATTGGGTTTTGGGTAAAAGAATGATTGAAGAGTTTTTAATAGTGTATTTGAGGAATATGATTCCTGTATGTAGATTGGCTCGGGCAAGTGAGTTTAGATAGAGGACAAATGGGTAGATAAGGCTAATGGGGTATTTCGGAAGCAGATGTGAAATGGTGTAGGGAGTGAAAGAATTAGAAATTTAGATTTGTCAGCTTATATGGTAAGTTTTCTCAAGTAACTATTTTAAAAGATATAAGGCAGATAAATGCAATATTGAACCTTTGACAGTAGATATTACCAACAGGTCAAAGAGTAAAGGTATTAATAGAAGAAATGTATTAGTTTGATTTCTATTAAGTTACTGGTTTTTGACTGTTTTACTTTATTAAAAAAGGAATCTAATTTACCCGTATTTTGCTGTTCATCAAGTGCTCCTGTGTCTAATGCACACCCATGTTTTTGGGCCAAACTTTAGTAAAATGCCCCTCAAAAAAATGGCCAGCTCTTGGGTGGGAAAGAGACACATTTGGGGAGGGCTGGTGCTCCCCTGGTAAATATGCAGATTATACTGCCCTCCCGTAGTTGCAGCTCTGTGAAGGCTGCCTCTTTCCTTTCCTAGGGGTCCTTCCTTCCCCACCATGTAAGGGGCCATGGCAGAGATGGCCATGTGAGTGGCTGATGGGTCAGGATCTTCAGAGACTGCTCAGACTGTGGGCAGTCAGGTGGGTCCCTGGGGCAGGAGGCTCCGTTCCTTCCTCCCAGTTAGGTCTCAGACCTTGATCTGCAGGGCCACAGCCTGCCTTGCTAGCCGGGCCACTGCCACTGCCTCTGATTGCTGTGCTCATAGAGGCCACTCCAGCCTGGTCTGACTGGATCCTGGATCCTCACAGATTGGAATGCCATGTGCCCAATAGGCCAAGGTAGGAGGGCACGGTGGCCCCAGGAGGCTTGCTGGGCTTCCCTGCTCCTATGACCTGTACTACCAATGTATAACGTACATCCTTATTTTGCCCTCAAAAATTTGGGCAAAAAAGTATGCATTATATATGGCAAAATATGGTAGTTAAACCTGAGAGAAATGATAAGGAAAACAGGATATGGTTAATTATTGAAGTGTTTAAATAGGATAAGATTTGTTCTCAGGGCTAGGATTTAATTTTAGTTATGCCACATTCTCATTGAATGACCTTGGGTAGGAGACTTTATCTGAGCAGCCTTTCTCATCAGTAACATGGAGTGAATATATATCATAAGATTATTGTGAGGAGCAAAGCTTGAATATTACTAATCTAATAAACATTGCCTATTACTGTGAAATGGGGTTGTCCCAAAGAGAATATAACATAGGGATCATGTTGATGGGTGAGAAAAGTCATAATTTGGTTAAATTCAATTATTACAGATACTACCAAAAATAATTTTTAAGAAATTCCATTGTTAAAAACTGTTCTTCAATCAGGATTCTTCATCTGAATCATCAACCACAGAAAGTTTAGTAAATACTTTCCTCAGTGTTAGCAGGATGTTTCATAGCTAATACCACTCTGGTGGATGCATAGGAAAGAAGTTAATTCATTACAAATAATGGATGCCTTAAGGTATAAGGGCTTTAATTCCCTTGTGTTCTGTTTGGAACCTGCAAAATTGCTCTGGACTGACCACATTAGGAAATTAGGTTATATGTTCATGGATTTAAATAAGGGGCATTTCAGATTTAAATGATGATCTAGTTAAACTTCCAAGGATTATGAGAAAAGGGGAAAATACACTAAAGAGGAAGGATTTGGGATCGTAGAGTAGGGGATCAGTGGGACAGAAAAGTTCAACAGTTTCTTAAAATTGTTTTTTATAAAATAATCTAAATACATTGTTACGATATTGATATCCTTTTTTAAACAAATAAAACAATACTAAATGAAAACTTGTAATGTGCATTGCTGTGTTTACAAGAGCGTCTTCTTTTAATTTGTTGCTGTTTTGGTGCTGCAGAGTAAAGGAGTTTGGAATTAGTCCATCAGACATTCCCTTCTCACAGGGTAGTGGCAGTCGCCCTGATCTCTCTCCTTCTTATGAGTATGACGACTTTTCTCCTTCGATTACCAGGTCTACTTCATTCTATGCATAAGATGTTTATTTTAATAGTTTCTTTTGAACTGTGCTTTGTATAAACATTTCATTTACTTTTTTTTATCCTGGGCCATTTTAGATTTCATTTTCATTTTGTTTGGCAGGTGGTATTTGTACTGCATGGTCTGCATTCTTACGTTCTTTATTACTTTATTTACTTTAAAATGTTGATTTAGAATTCAGGCTTCTTATTTCCCTCTCATATTATTAAAGGATGATGTCACTTTTGCATATTTACTATTAAAAGATAAATTGTCTTGCTTGAAATGAAGAATTTGCCTTTATTTTGTATGATCTTCTAACTTTCCTTGTCTACAGGGAAATAAGGATCACTTTGACTTAGAAAGTATACTCTGTCCCAAATGTCTAAATTAAATGTAATCAGTAAACATTTTTTGAATAGTAGAATGTAGAATCTGATTTTTATATATTAGAAATAAAATTTTGAGCTGGGCACAGTGGCTTGCACCTGTAATTCTGGCACTCTAGAAGGTTGAGACAGGAGGATAGCTTGTACTCAAGAGTTAAACACCAGCCTGAGCAAGAGCGAGACCCCAGCTCTCCTAAAAATAGATGTGGCAGGTGTCCATATTTTCAGCTGCTACAGAGGCTGAAGCAGGAGGATCACTTGAACCCAGTAGTTTGAGGTGGCTCTGAGCTAGGCTGATGCCCAGCACTCTGTCATGGGCCAACCGAGTGAGACTCTGTCTTGGAAGAAAAAAGAGAGACAGACAGAAAGAAAATTTTCACACATGGCTATTTTAATTGAGCATTATGACTACAAGAAATCTGCAAAGTGTATCAAATTTTCAAGTTTGACAATGATCCGTTTATTTATCTAATTGCCCTTGTTAACATTTTTCAGTTCCTATAATTTAATTGCAACAGTAGTTTCTTTCTTTGAAATACTGAATCTATATACTTTGCTAATTCTCATGTGTTGTGCCCAATAATATTTGAAGTAATAATAAAGTTGCCTAAGAAAATTCCTAGAATTAAAACCAAATATCCCTCTAGTGTTTACACAGATTTTCAGATAAATATGACCTGTAAAAGTGACATCATCAATCTTAGTATGTTTGTAGAATTGCCATTCTATTAAGTAGGTTGGCATTTTCTTATTCTTCTTTGTAAGTGTTTATTAACTTTAGATACTTGTTAATGTATTTTTAGGGTGAAAGAGCTGACTGTAGATCCAGCCTCTGCTGGCGATGTTCGTCCAATAATGCACCATCCACCAAACCAGATTGATGACTTAGAGACACAGTGGGGTGTTGGGAGTTCACCTCAGAGAGATGATCTGAAACTTCTTTGTGAACAAAATGTGAGTGACTTAGTATAGTTGTAATTGTTCTAATTTTATTTAGTTCATTTCATCAGTTACAAAAGTTAATAACTAAAAATTATTCCCTTAATTGGAGTTAATAAACTAGCCTATTGGACAGCCAGTCTAATTTTTTTTTTTTTTTTTGGAGACAAAAATCTCACTTTTGTTGCCTTCAGTAGAGTGCCATGGCATCATGGCTCACAGCAACCTTGAACTCTTGGGCTCAGATGATCCTCTTGCCTCAGCCTCCAGAGTAATTGAGACTATAGACACCTATCACAATGCCCAACTATTTTTAGAGACAGGTTCTTGCTCTTGCTGAGGCTGGTCTTGAACTCCTGAGCTCAGGCAGTCCACCCACTGTAGCCTTTCAGAGTGCTAGGATTACAGCCATGCTGGGGGCCTGCCCAATCTGTTTTACAAATAGAGTTTTATTAGGACATAGTCATACTTATTTGTTTATGGATTATTTTGCTGCTATCTTACACCACCACCAGTGACAGAGACCATATGGCTCACAAACTCAAAACATTTATTATTTCGCCCTTTAAGAAAGTTTACCAGTCTCCGATCTGAACTATTCCTTTTCTTCCCCTAATTTTTATACTGATATTAAAATTAGGAAATTAAAAAAATTAATATAGGGAAAAACAACTTTAAGAATTATACATATGGGGGCTGGGCACAGTGGTTCACGCCTGTAATCCCAGCGCTCTGGGAGGCCAAAGTGTGTGGATTGCTTGAGCTCAAGAGTTCAAGACCAGCCTGAGCAAGAGCGGGACCCTGTCTCTAAAAAGAACTGGGTATTGTGGCAGGCACCTGTAATTCCAGCTACTTGGGAGATTGAGGCAAGAGAATCACTTGAGCCCAAGAGTTTGAGTTGCTGTG